TGTGTGTGTGTGTGTGTGTGTGTGTGTGTGTGTGTGTGTGTGTGTGTAAAACTGTCTACTTAATCAGGAACAAGTTGAGGCAGAATATTAACCTTTCTGAAAGATTCATTCTGCTACCAAATGGATACAGTGATTTTTGATCAAGGTACAAAATAGTTGTTCAAGCAAAATGGTTTGGGAAGATGAATGCCCCCTTGTAACACCCCTAAGGGTGTTTAATTGGAACTATTTGAGAATAGCTTCCTTATGAATACATGCTGTTGGTTTAGGCCTTGGAATAAGTGTAAAATCTCTGATAGCTTGTTTTGCTCTTATATCCAATAATTTTGAGGTTTTTTTTTCTCTAAGATATTTAACTACAACTGGGAAGATTAATGTTTAAAAATGTAATTTCAGAACTTCAGAAATGAAGGCAAGAGAATTAGGAGTTCAGGGTCATCTTTACCTACATAGCAAGGTCCAGGCTAGCCTGGGCTGCAAGAGATCCTGCCTCAATACAAATAAGAGCTTGTGAGAAATTGTTAATGTTGGAGAGTGTACGGGGAGTTGTACACACGAAACCTTTTCTTTTACAGTTTTCTCTAGAAATACAAATGAAAAGTAGACAGAAATGAAGACACTTGTCTTCTAGGTGTCTTTCAAAAAGAGCTGTTTCCTCTTAACATATTTTAGTAGAAGTTTTGTTCATGATTTTGCATTATTGAGAATGGGGGCAGTGTTCCAGCATTTTTATCCTGATTAAGATAAAAAAAGTAGAAGTTAAGTTACATGACTTGATTTTACATGAGTGAACTGCCTTATATGAAGATGATAGAAAATATAGAATCTTAAAAGGGACCACATTTGAATTGTTTATAAAGAAAACATAAACAACCTCAGCCAAAAGTGAGTAATAGGAACACAATAATGGAGATTACATCTTCACAAACTCTTCTCTGAGTAGCAAGTCAAGGAGCTATGAAGACTGATTGGGGCCAACTTCAGGGCGCAGAGAATGGCTCTCATCTTGAGTCTTAGGATGCTTAATGTTTTCAAGAATGACTTGGATGATGTAAAAGAGAACACTGTCATTTAAAAATCACATGTGCCGTAACTGTTAAAGCCTTAAGATGAAGTAGAAAGGAGCCAGGGTGAAAATTAGCAGGAGAATTAATCAAAAGCTGATCAAAGTCTATGTGGGAGAAAATGCAAAGCCAGGGGGTGTTTGTGTTCTGAAGCTGTTGGGGTGGTAAGACAGGGCAGTGATTGGGTAGTGGAGGGCAGGCTGTGAGGCATCCATTGGATATGAATACCAGTTATAGTTCTGTTAAAACCTAGGACAGCACCAGGAGATACTGCCCAGGAACCAGGAGGCCTGCTAGCTGAGTGCTGGCTTGGGAGAGTTGCCAACTGCTCTGTACTTCACTGTACGGACTCAGGCTTGGGATATGGCAGCAGTGATGGACAGGTCCTCCACCTAGCACAGGGCTGCTAAACATGGACTTAACCTCGTGTGGAAGGGGTTAATTCTTGTTTCAGACATTTAACAGCAGTAGGCTATTCATACCTTACAGTACAAATACCCTTGTGTCCTGTATTGTTTTTCTTGTTGTGATGGAGTTAACTGTCCAAATATCTTAAGGGAGGGAGGATTGGTTCTGGCACACAGTTCTGGACATGCAGTCTGTCCTGCCGGTGAAGGTGGCGGAAGCTGCTACGGCTGTGGCGTTAGGTGGGAAGTAGATGGCTATGTCATCGGGGCAGTCAGGAAGCAGAGAACAGGGGCAGGAACTTGAGAGATTTATAACTCATAAGCCCCATCCCTAGAGATCCAAGTCAAGAGCCTGTAGCCAAAAGATCCCAAACCTTCCATAATGACAGCATCCTGGAAGGAAGAATAGTGTGGAGGTGAACTGCTTCAAACAGTCATAGTGAGTTGAGGAGGAATGGACAGGAACGGGGATCAGAAGGTGTAACCTTACTAGAAGGATCAGACTAGTTAAGGACCAAGTTTTTAGACACACGAGCTGATGGGAGCCACTGCACAGACAAACCATAATTAAGTCCGACATGCCTTCATCCTGGAGTCTGTCCCAACATGGTCCCTTCTCAGTGAATTAACCCTTGCCACAGTTTTATCCTCACTTGGTGCTTGCCACAGCTCACTGACATATTTCCTGCATCTGCATTTCCATACCCATAATTCTCTTCTTAAGGAAGAGCTTTGCTCTTCTCCCTGAGTGCAGCCTCTACCGCTCTTTACACCTCCATGCCCTTGGTCACACTGCTCTGGTCTTCCCACCTCCTGACCTCTTGTTCATCCCTCCCTTACTCATTGTGACTGTCTGAAGCTGTTGACCTCCAGACTATTCTTCCTGCCAGGATGCTGTCATCTTGTAACCCCTCAGGGAACTCTTACTCACCCTTTAAAGCTCAGTTCCGCAGCAGTCCACATAGCAAAGCATCCTGCATTGACATTGCTTAGCTCTGACAACCAGAATATAGCTTCTGTGTGGAGCCACGTGGAAGGGGTGAACGAGTGAATGGAAAAGTTAATGAAGGGACAATTCACACCTGAACACGTCTCCTGTCATTGTATTCCCTGGACACCTTCGTTGTCTCTTTTCCTGGGGAAACATTAATAAACACCTGTTCATCCCAGGTAAAGCAACAATGGCAGAACACGTAGCTGATTCCACCGAAGTCCTGCTGGGTGAGCCAGTGAGTTTATCGGGGACATTTACAGGAATAAGGATGAGAGGTCACACACATGGGTGACTCACATGGAGCTACATCAGCAAATAGGTCATCCCAGTAAGAGTGGTGACTCACGGAAGCTACATCGGGGGTGGGGGTGGGGGTTCCTGCACAAGTAGCAGTCGTCTCCATGGAAGAGTCTCCCATCCCTCATTTGCTTACTGTGTACATAACCTTATGGAGGGGCATTTGTGAATGTTATTGAGTTTCCCAAGGCTGGCAAGTTTCCTTAGGTTTCTGAGTCTTAAGAGCTCCTCTCATCCCTCCAGGAGAGAATGTTTCAGTTCAGAGGGAACATCTATGGAACATCCTTTTGCATTCTGTTCATGGCTTGTCGCCTTGCTGCTTACACAATGCTGTTCTCAGCTCGCCCTGTCCTTTCTCATTTCAGTGGTCCGGCTCTTTGGATAGTGTCTTGGGAACAGGGATTCTGTTTGTAGATATCTAGTCTTGTGAGTCTTTGCTGTTCTTCCACAAGTTCAAAAAACACAACTGCCATGTAGCATAAGGTTGAAAACCAAGTGAATATTCAACATAAGCATAACAGTGAACATCGTGATGACATTGTCACTAATGACAAGGTGGTTCTGGGAGATATTTCACCTGGGGGCTGGGAAGACGGCCCAATGGATAGAGAGGACTTGTGGCACAGGTATCCCAGTTTGGATCCTTAGCAGCACCCACCTATGAGTCAGGCATGAAACTGTGTGGCTCTAACCCCAGAACTTTCTGGCTAGCAAGTCTAGCCAAAAGAACAAGTTTCTTGGTTTAATGAGGTGCCCTGTCTCAAAAATGAAAGGAGAGACCAACAGAAGAAGATATTCAAAGTTCAGCAGGGTGGGTTTGTGATGGCATGGGCATCTTCTACTAGACGTTCATTTATTCCAGTTGACACGTGATTGGGTCTGGCTTCTCACCTTTCCCGTTGTCTGGGGACTGCTTCTTAAAGCTCTGTGAGGATAACATCTGTCTTCAAGGTTGTGCTTCACTCTCATCTTCAGGGCGTGTTCTGATGTCTCCTGTCTGTGGGACACCCCTGCCTCTTTATGCTTGTCTCTCTCTAGTCTTTCTTGGGACTCAACTGATCAGGAGTGATGGAGGTGTAGCAGGAGCGTTTTCTGAATCCTCTGCGGGTAGGGCTGTTGTGTCTCTTATTTATTTATTTTTGTTGTTGTTGATATTCATCTACTCATTATATACCATAGTTTGGGCTTCATTGACCTCAGAAGAGACGTGGTCTCTGTTTTTAGGATCTAGTAAATATCTGTTGAGATCTATCTTAGAATGATTTATGGTACCTGAAAATTCTTTTCAGTTCCTAACACCGTCAGCATTTTTGATTGCTCAGTTTGGTACTGTGCCCACCTGTCCTCTTTCATTTTTTTTTTTTTTTTAAATCCCTCTGTGAGTCTAGTTTTTGAACCAAACAACCTAGCCCCAGCCCCAGAGCTTCTGAGTTAAACATGTATGAAGGGATGTCAAAAAAGTGGAGGCAAACCCAGATCTATTTTCAGATAAATAAAATATGGTCTGCCCTCACATTGGGTTATTATTCAGTTTTCAGAGGGGTAGCCACATGCTGTTGATGAGCCTTGCAGACATTATGTTAAGTGAAATAAGCCAGAAAGAAGGCAACAGATTCTATATGATGCCACACAGCTATGAGGTACCTAGAATAGCAATATTGGCAGGAAGTAGGATATAATGCCAGGGGCAGAGGAGAATGCAGAGTTGTTCAGTTGAATGGTTCAGAAGATTGGTTACAGTGAATGTACTTGGTACCTTAAGCTGTGGATGTGGGTTATAGTCTTCAACGTATAGTTGGCTAAAATGGTCAGTTTTATGTTGTATACAGTTTGTCACAAT